TAGATCTTTAACAAAAAACATTTTTTTTTAACCAATTATCCAAATAATGTTTAGTCCTAGAAAGCTATTATTATCATAACACGTGAGCATAACATAGCGATTAGTAGATCAATGAATGAGAGGGCAGCGTTACCAGAGTTGCCCATATACCACACCACGTTACAACACAGTTGGGTTATTGCAGACAGAAACAATACTGTACTACATCGATGTTTCCTGTCGGCTCAATTTTTGAATTTTTGAGTGCTGTTCCGATTTACATGAACTCAAGACATGCAAGTATCAAACTTAGTCTCATTGTTTGATCCATTAAGTATTCCCACTCCTTTTAAGAAGGGTTTGTTAGAACTAAGAAACTGATGGTTTGCTCAAGGCTGTTGATCTGCTGAATCTTGCATTCCTGTACTCTAAACTGTATGCATGTGTGTGTGTTTGTGTGTGTGTGTGTGTGTGGTCAGTGTAGTTAATAAAGTCTTGTTTGTATCACCCTCTAGGTTGTATGTGGTTTTGCTCATAACTGGAGTCCCTAATCTTGCAGATTTTGGCTACATGCTCTGAATTGTATTGTACAATAAGGATGTTATTTCCCATGCCTCGGAAATAAAACATTTCTTAGAATTAATGAACAATTAACACTGGGTGTTCGCTGGGCGAACAGTTTTGTTGATTGTAATATATTGTAATATTAGTTGATCCAAAAATTTTAATAATTAATAACGAGTTATGATTAATGATTAATATTTGCCTTCTGAGCTAATTTGCTACAAATGCAAGTAACTCTATATTTACTGTTGTATAAAAGCTATATCAGCTCGTAAATATTGCTTATTTATAGTTATGGACTTTTGTTTAAAGTATCAACTGGTGTAGGACACAGTATTTCAACATTGAAAATAATTACACACGTCACCTTTAAAACAAATTTAGAGCTGTTGTTGTAAATTAATGAATTTGTTTGTGACCGATGTGACTTGTTATTTCCCTGACATGATGGAAATGAAGAGGAAATATTTGCCATTCTTATGTTGAGTGATAGCAAGACATAGCTTTGAGATAAATATCTTTTATCTGAGCCCTATTGGCCCTAATGGTTGGAAGAGAGATCTCATTAATGAGAGCTGATGCTTTATAAACAGAAATGAGACTTATGAGATGCTCCTGCAAATTAGATCTTCAGACAGATGACTTTCATACATGCAGCAGTGTTTGTGATTGTCTGGTTAGATTTCAGCTCCTGCTTGTGTTTTTGCAAGAGTTTTTTTGGCAGACTAAAGGTGTGTTATTGATCAAAACTCCTTCCTCTTGCCCTCCTCAGCTGGAGCTAGGTTATTTTGAGACCCAACAGTCATCGCCTGTGGAGCAGGCCAGCGGGGAGTACAGGGGTCTTAATTTGTTCTGAGTAGGCTTGGAAGGTTTCGTCTTTAAGCAGGGGTCACTTCTGCTAGTGTGAGTCATACAAACATCATTAACGAGGGCGGTGGGATTAGTATTCTAGGATTAATATGACATTAGATGGATAAATTCATAACAGAAAGTTAAGTATGTCTCATGACTGTGATGTTACAGTATATGGTAGACTTAAACAATTGTGGTACATTACCGTTCAAAAGCAATATTGTGAATTATTATTACAACTTGTAATAAATGTTTTCTATTTCTATTCTAATATATTTTAAGTAACTTATTCCCATGATGACAAAACTGAATTTTTAGCACTGTCCCAATTACTCCAGTCTTCAGTATCACATGATCCTTTAGAAATGATTCTAATATGATGATTTGGTGCTGAAGAAACATTTTTTTATTATTATATCAGTGTTGAAACAGTTTAATATTTTTCTGGAAACCATGAAACATTTTTTTTGTTGATCGATGAATAGAAAGTTCAAAAGAACAATATTCATTTGAAATTGAAATCTTTTGTAACATTGTAAATGTCACTTTTGATCAATTGCTGAATGGAAGTATAAATTGCTGAATAGAAGTATTAATGCAAAAAAAAACTGACCTTCAACTTTTAAACAGTTTTATTTGCTTAACTGACATTTTGGAGGTCTCACTAACAAAAAGTACCATATTACAGTATTTTTGGACATGGTAACATCATGGTATTATTTTGAACACCATGTTTTGTATCAAAATCATCATTCAGTACCAAAATTCAAACTACCCTAAAATTATTATCTGACAGCATCAATATACCATTGTACCGCAAAATGCTTTGACTTTTTTACTGCAGGCATTTGCTTTTTTAAATTCACAATTGCTAGTACTAAGCTAACATTTTCTTGTACAAGAGCTTAGTATTCACAGCTTAAGGGAGGGAAACTAGATGAACATCTGATCAAAATTTCATGGCAAACAGAAAAGTTCAGTGCTCGTTTTCTTTCTTCTTCTCTCAAATTTCTTTGCAGCTTCCTCACTAGTTTTTTTCTGGTGAGATTTCTTTTTTACTCCCCTCCGGTAAAAAGTAAAAGATAAAGACATTTTTTGACAGACAACGGTTCTTTAGATGCCTTTTCTACTACTGACATGAATAACACCTCAAATCATGCTGCTTGTTGAGAAGAGGTGTTATTACTTTTCAAAGCAATCTGACTTTAAATGTTCAGCTAGCAAAGAAGGGAGCAGACTTATCTAGACTTAATGGTCACTTCTAACTGAAGTAACCACCTAGCGACCACACAGAACACTGAATCAATGCTAGTATCCACCTAGAACAGCCTAGCAACAATGTTGGCATGTTAAAACTGCTCAGAAAACTGCATAGCAACCACCCACAACACAAAGAATATAAAAAAATATACTGCTTTTGATGTTAACCTTGCCTAGACTTAATGGTTTCTTTCTGGCAAATGTTTTATATCTGTTACATTTTGTAACTTAATTTATTTAAATTTATTTCAGTTTATCATTGTTATTCTTCTTACTACAGCCATTTGATTTCATGAAGGACAGCCATTTCTAACAGCCAACAAGGCTACACTTACAAGCTGCCTATAAGTAATGAGAACTAGATTACTTAAAAAAACTTCATTACCCAACCTGCTATATTCATGTTAGTGAGGTAAAACAGCACCCCAGCAACAATGCCAGCTGCTAGCATGGGCCAAACATTAATTACAGACTGTGTAAATAAATAATGAATCCGGAGAGGGGGCATACTGAGCGGTTTGGAGGTGCTCTTTGAACCCTCTCCTGCTGTGGAGCATGTCTAATAGGGCTGGCCCCTGGTCTGCAGGCTTGTTACTGTAATGGCTATGTCCTTCTCCAGCCAGGAGAGTTCACGTAAACATGACAGGAACTATTGTTCACACTGGGTCATAGCGCATTAGCCTAGCCTTGTGAGGACTCAGGGTAAAGGTCAGTAGCCACAGCGCTGTTCGGAGGAAATCTTTGCATGTTTTAGGAAAGATGCTACAAGAAAAATAGCAGTATATTAAAAGAGAGAAGGAAAAAAAGCAGCCTTTGTCTTCCTGTGAGTAAGATGTAAATGGGACCTGCTTTTGTGTAACACAGGCGATGTCACCGAAGACTGATTGCAATGAGCTTATGGGCTGTCATTATAATCAGAGAAGTGACTTCTCTGTGACTTCCTTCACAGCCCTCCTAGAGCTACATAGTTCCCCCAGTCAAAAGGATAGGATAAAAGGAGCTTGACTACTTTTTTCAGGTCTCCAGCAGACAGATCCATTTGGGACTTGTTCATTTCCACTTGGAGGCATCACCTTCAACAGTCATTTTTCACGAGTAGCCTGTGCCACACTTCGCCAAGCAGCAGCCTATCACAACTACACACCTGGGAAGTTTCATATCTTCGCTCCGCACATCACTGCCATTTCGTTGCCAGGTTTTTGGCACCATTCAGATTTGAATTGTGAATACTTGTTAAATCCCAAATCATTACTTGAATTTACATTGATTTTGAATTGAGGTAGCAAACAGGATGCAGAATTGCATTTCGAATTTGAATGTAAAGAAGTAGAATTAAAATGAAAATCTAACTTTAATTTTAAACCAGAACTTCACATTTTCAATATTGGTTGGATAAAGCCTTCTGGAAAAAAAAAAAGTTCTGAAAAAACAAACAAAACAGTGAAAGCCTTGAAGTTTAAATGTTTAAAGGCCTTGCAGATAGATAGATAGATAGATAGATAGATAGATAGATAGATAGATAGATAGATAGATAGATAGATAGATGTCAGACCCTTTGGGTCGCTAATCACTGTGCTTGATTGATGGCTCTGAGGTTAGCACAGCTGTTCAAGGTGACAATGTTGGGGCAGGGCGATCTTTAACTTTTCTCTTCATTTTAATCTGTGGACTCAAGCAGACTCATTCAGTGCAGCATGATAAAGCACCTCGGTCTTCACCGCAGTTCTTCTTCTCATGTTGCATCATCATCGTCTCTCTGACCTGAGTCATGCATTTAAATCATCCCTGCTAAAATATCCAACCCTTTTGCTGTTAGCTACGTATTGGAAAATGGTAATCAGTTTCTAGCTGGTCTAAAATGGTAATTAGTTGATTTACGGTGATCATTAGCTACTTCAAGCTGGTTGTTAGTAGTATGAGCTGGTCCAGCTATTCTAGCTGGTCTAAGACGGTCGTTAGCTGGTCATTACCTAGTCAAAATTGGTCATCTGCTGGTCTGAGCTGGTCATTAGGTAGTATGAGTTTGTCTAGTTATTCTAGTTGGTCAAATAAGGTCATTAGCTGGTTTACATCTAGAAATCAGCTACCATGTTCCAAAACACAGCTACCATCATAAATGGAGTTTCCTTAAAAAGAGCGATTGATCACTTTGACATGAATGAGTGGCATCAACTCAAGTACTGGGGCACCTGCCTAACATCCAGCATTTAAAAACTTGCTGATGTAGTGTATGGTGAACTTAATCTCTTAAAGTTCAGAGAGGTAATGAAACAAAAATGTTTTGTGTCTGTTGCTTTGTGAAGAGATCATCAGTTTGAAAAGTAACATGCACTTCACTTCCACAGTCTGAACCCTTACAGCTACGACGAGAGTTGCGTGTCCAGCAGCGTAGACCATCTACCTCTGGCCGCTTTACCACTGCTCGCCATTGCTGCTCCACACTACCAAGATGCTGTCGCAACTGTGATCGCCCGGGCCAACCAGGTGTACCACAGCTTTCTGCAGTCTCCAGAGGGACAGGGGTTCACAGGGCAGGTAAGTTCATGAGCACCCAACAATCTTAAAGGGATAGTTCACCCAAAAATAAAAATATTTGTTGTTAATTTATTCACCTTCAGGGCATCCAAGATGTTGGTGACGTTTTTTTCTTAAGTAGAACAACAAAGATAGGCTTTTATTAAACGAATCATGGCGTGAATTTCTCACCCACTTCTTTAAAACAGATATCGGTTGGACCTGATTCAAGTTCAGTGTGCAATAGCAGGCACACCAACACTTCATAGCCTATTTAGTAAATCTTACTGAAAATGGCAGATTAAATTGTTTATATTGTAAAATCTATGTCTAGGTTTTGTTTTGTGAAAATCAAATAACAATTAGATGTAAAAAGTCCTCTTCCTGACATAAATGTAGAAGACTGAGGCGCTTCAACGGAGGGTTCTGCGGATCACCTTTATGAGACTGTCCGGGTCTGGAGTCATTAAGCACGGCATCAGCATTGGCTGATTTATTTTGTTTAGGTCCAGATTTTTCTCCAGGTGTTTTATGTTGTAAAAAAAAACACTGAATATGCATTCATGCCATGCAACAGGCAAGCAGTATCTGCCAAAATGCAGATTTGTCATGCCACAACTTCTTACGCAAATGAGATTGGGAAGTATTAGTAAGTTTGATTTAATTTATTAATTTATTTACAAGAAACAATTTAAAATGTATTAAATGAACAACATTGTATTAGGGCTGCACGATAAATCGCATGCGATATTTAACGCGCATCTTGTCAGTAAAGCCGCACGTGATGGAGATTTACCGCTGATTACAGAATGGCTTTACTGACAAGATGCGCGTTAAAGATGTGCATGCGATTTATTGTGCAGCCCTACATTGTATGCATATTTATGGTTGAGTTGAAAATTTTAAAAACTTTTTTTTTTAGTAAAATCTTTCACAAGCTACGCCCATGTGCATAATGACATATGCACAGGCGCATACTCACACGTAAGCTGATGCTGTTTGTTTACAACAGAGATAGGGACTCATGTGCAGACCTTCACCAGCAGTACCAATGTCTAAAGCACACAACGTAAAAGTTTCTATGGCTGACGATTTCGATGTGAAAGAGGATGACATGGAATTTTTTGCACAGCCCTACTTGTTCAAACCAGAATGTCATGCGATGACAACAGAAGTAGAGTCGATTTGGATCAGATGTTGTAAATCTGTAAAATGTCAATCATCCCAAATGGGTCACGGACACAAACGTAATCTTACTTTTTTTAAATTGGTTCCAGCATCCAGGATAAGCAGAGGCAAGTACCATTTTCACGAACAATAAAACAGATGCGTCCTCACTCTCCGTTGTAAACAAACAGCGTCTGCTCATGTGTGTTCTTGGTCATCTCTCTCAGTTTTTTAGACATTGGTACATCTGGTGAAGGTCTGCACATGAGTCCTCACTCTTCGTTGTAAACAAACAGCATCAGCTTACGTGTGTGTTATGTGACAGAGGACGTTTGCACTTCAGACAGTCATGGACGCACCGAGCACTGTTTGCCCAGGCTGTGGATTAAAGGTAATAATGTTCAGTTTTTTTGCACTGGCCGAATATTTCGCTTCATAAGGCCTCAATGTATAGTTATGATCCACATAAACCGCCAGTCACAGACATGCCACTGTATGAAATGCCAAGGAGAGCGGTTTCACCTTAAAATCTTCTTTACTGTTCTACTGAAGAAAATTATGACTTTCAGTAGAGTAAATTAATAGCAAATTTTAATTTTTGGGTGAACTATCCCTTTAAGGTGCCATCACATTAGCAAAATTTTGGTGCATGCATAAAGATTTGCTCACACAGAAGTCCCAGGCAAACCAAGCAGCTTACTTTGGTCAACCTGCGTGGGGAACTTTTTCACCCTCATGCAAAGCTATTCACAATAGCTCAAATTCCTATAGAGTGCAACAGTCGGGTTCCTGAAGTAAAATTAAAAATAGGGAATTTGATTGATTTGAGAGAAATTGAGAAATTGATGACTGATAATTAGGTAGGCCACAATTTTTCATTAATTCAACTTATTTTAGAATTATGCTTAACAGTGTAATTTTTGGTGAAAAACTACATTACTCATGATGCTGTAAAGAAAATTCCTCCAGTCAGAGAGTTGCAGTGAGGAAATTTCGGCAAAAGAGCTCGGCAGGGAACACCCACTCCCATAAAGCACCACAAATTAATTAATCGAGTTGTTCTTGCTATGCTCTCAACAACTTAAAAAGAATCATTTTATATTTCTCCATTGTTCAATTATGTCCATTATGTAATTCACAGTGTTTCATGGGAATGTAGTTCTCTCCCTTATTAAAGCCGTTAAGCACACAGTCTTATACATTTGTCTTTTTGTCTGATTTTCAAAGACTTTTGGCTTCAAATAGAAGTTGTTGTAATGTTGTGATTCACCTCATAGATGGTTGGTTTGGTTCATAGCTGATAATACTTCAACAAAGACTATTTAAAAATCCCTATAGAAAAAAACAAATGGGAAAAAAAAACTTTTAGAACAAGTGCCATGGAAAAAGTGGGCGGGACTGTTGCACTCCATTTATAATGATATTTCGTTTGCAGAATTTTGCAGAGCAATGGCAAATGTGACTGCGAGTTTATTCTCTGTCCAGAAACCATTTTTGGCTGTTTTTCCGTAACAAATGAGATCTGGCCACACAGGCAGATGAGGGTGGTCCCAGATCAGTATTAGAAAGGCAAACTGTGTGGAGCATCAGTGGGAAGGGTGTGTGGGTCTCTGGCAGTGAAAGTGACTCATCAGTGATGAGTCATTCAAAACAGATGAAAAGGAGGGGGTCTTTCCACTCGTCTTGCTCAATAATCTCACATGATTAATCCAATAACACACTCCTGTCAATTTAGAAGGCACTATGATTTGCTGAAGTGGACCACAGTTTATGAACTGTGTGTCAAGTGTTGACTCTATAGGGAGCCGGACCATTCAAATAGGGCCTGAATGGCATATTAGCCTTCTGATTTGGGGGAAAAATGTAGGTGCTTTTTTACAAAGCATAGCTGTGTAGTTTATTTAAAGCATGCCACAGACTCCTCTGTTGTTGACACAGATAATTAGATCTGTGGATTTGTTTGTTTGTGGAGTATCCATACATTAATTGAGCTCACCATGGAACTGCTCATCAACAGCAAACATTAAAACAGAGTTACAGCTCTGTTGTTTCTGTATGATTAATTAAACGTGTTATTGACTGTCAGGCTGCATTGTAGATTGAGCTGTCTTTATGCAATCCTGAGATTTGCCTGACAGTGTTGATTGCATGTAAAAACACTGCACCGATTCTGACTGAATTTGTTTGTGTGTGTGTTTGTACAGGTGTGTTTGATGGGTGACTGTGTGGGAGGTGTGCTGTGTTTCGACGCTCTCTGTTTCAGCAACAGCCCACGACACAGCAGCCCCATCCACACCAGCCGACATAACAGCACAGAGAGCTTAAAGGTATGGACAGAAACACTGAATCACTCGCTCACATAGTAAACACACCTGTAACTTTCATTCTTTGCTTCCCTTGTCTTAGAGTGGTTCAGGTAAAAAAAAAAAAAATCACCCAAGTAGGAATACACCGTTGACAATAAATTACATATTACACAAAATAAATGAAAAATAAAAAGCTAAAAACTAGAACAAATCTTTTTAAATGCTACAAGTCAATCTGGGCATCACAACTTTACAATGTGCAGTATAAAAATGGATATTCATTTTGAGATTTGCTGAAGATTACATTTAACAATTTAGAAATTATTGGTGTCTTTTAACTAAAGTAACTTTAAATGAGTGTTATATGATATATAAGAAAACTTTTTAAAAAGGTTACAAAAAAGTGCACGCACAATGAAATGCCCAATATCTGCTGATAATGGTATATTAAATTTTTTTTACCAAAATAAATAAAGGTATAAAAAAAGGATAAATACTGCATGCACAATGAAATGCCTAATACTGACTCTTTTTTTTTTTTTTTACTTAGACAGCAATGAGATTTTATTGGAGAGCAAAAGGAGAATTTTGATTGTCTGATTTTTCCCTAGTAGTATCACATCTTTAAAGTTGTAGATGAAATCTCAACAATGTCACAAACTCTGCTCAGATATGCCAAGATATCAAAATCTGAATATTTAATATCTCAATATAAAAATGTCTCATCAAAATTCATGGCGAAATACTCTTTAGCTGTTCTATCCACATTCATTTCATAGCTCTGTATTATAACTCAGAATGTCAATAATTATCTAATTTATGTTTATTTTTTATCTCTGAACCCTCTGAGACAAAGTTGATAAAGAAACATCACTCAGAGCTCATTTTAGTCTTCTAAGCTATGAAAGAGCAACTTCTGAGCAGATTCCTGTGGGTTTTCCAATCACACTACTGTGATCTTCAGGGAGCACAGAACAGCTGTCACATCAGACACACCATCCAGACTTTATTTGACACTGTACTTCAGAGCACCTTTATATTATTTGTACATTTATATAAATGATGACTGTTCAACTGGCTGTGTCTCACATTTTTCACACACTCAGGATAACCCTGAGGTCAGTCCGAGTCTGAGCTCCAGCAAACGTCTTAGCAGGAGCAACATTGACTTATCTGCCCCCAGTGAGACCCGCAACAGGAAAACTCCACTCAGCCGCAAACAGAGCGACTCGTATGATGGAGACTCCTCTGGCAGCCAGCACCCCCCGTTCCTCAGCAGGTACTGCATGCTTGAAAGAACACTTACCAAAGTTTTGACCTCTTGGAAATGCTGTGAGTAAGTGTTTCTATTACAATATTTTCTCCATGCAGAAACAACTCCTGAAGAGAGTTTTTTTTTTGTACATTATTCTTGTTTTTTTTTAGTAGACTGGAATGTTATCATTGGTATGAGTTTGAGGTGGGACTACTATTTTTTTTATTTATTTATTTATTTATTTATTGAACAATGGCAGAAGGGAAAATTTGCATTAGTTTCATAATTGGTTTTCATAAATTGGCTTTTTTAAAATTGTTTTTGGCACTAATAAGCATTCTTAGTGATTTTTAGGTTTATTTATGCTTCCATTTAATTTAGTAAGAAATCAGAAGAAGATTACCCAGATGTTTCCCCCTGAACAAGACATAAATGTATCACCCCTTTTCCTCAGTTCTGTTTATCAATATTATCTGCTTGATGGCATGTTGCGTGCGCCTGCAGTGCTATTACCGGTAATAGTCACAGCTGCAGTCAGTGTGCAAGTACTGTATGAGAGATTGAAGGACGACTGAACAATGCCTTTTCGCAGAAGTTGCTCAATGCCATAGCAGCAAAAGACCAATTATCCAACTGTTTATCGTCTAAATTATCCTATTTAGGGTATTTATGTGGCAAGAGAGATTTGTTGTAGACACAACACTGTTGTTGTCATAAGTCTCCAGCACAGCTCTTTTATTAAAAGAGTTCCTGAATATTCCTGCATACAAGAATAGCGTTCCATGTTTTGATCCTCACTAACAGCTAACAATTTATGTCATTGTGCATAAAATTGCATATCAAATGAAGTAGTATTCTTATTCCGCTTCAGATTAGGGCTAAACTGTGTCATGTCAAGGGGGAAATTGAGTCACTTGGTAATACATGAACTGTTTTAAATCAAATTTGAACACAAATTAGAATAAATACATTATTTTGAAATGGCACTTTCCCATTTTCCAAAGCATTGAATCCCATAAGCCAATCAGGAAAATATAATATTATAATGTGAATATTTGAAAGTACTGAAACCTGTTTGGAAAAAATCTAATCAAACTATTTGATTGTTTATTTAATAATTTACTATTACTCTGAATATGTTTGAATGTTGTGAGTAAAACCATTTAACATTTTTAGTTACGTGTTCATTTTTACTATATATACAGTATTAACTGTGAAACCTTCCTGAAAAAGGAGGGATTACAACCCTCATCAACACAATGCAACAGAGAGAGGCATCAGCCATTGAGAGGAAACTGTCTGTGTCTCACAGGAAATGTGACACTGACTTTTAATTATATCAAGTCTCACTCTGCTGATCATAGGCGAAGTATGTCACAATATTTGTTAGATACTGAGGCATGGATGTGTTTAATTTAATGCATGCGCACACCCACCACATGCTCTGTTTTAATGCAGTACTTAATAATTGCCGTCCTAATGGAGTATCTCTGGAGTGGCTTCCCATGTGTACAGTTCTTTCATTATGAATCCTTACAGATTTACTCAGCGGGCCTTTAATGTGAGAAATGTATCTGATATCCATCTGTTTTTGTATTTATGCTGTTCCTGTGCATTTGGATTCATTCATTTCATTTGGCGGCTGACTGAAAATCTGGAGCCATTCATTTCAAGTAGCTGGAAACTGGGGACTGCGATCCCAAAGCCATATGTGAAGTGATATCATGGAGTTCTTTTTCTCATTACACTGAAGAACAGCCTGATTCTTTCCACTGAACTCTGTATTGCCTTCAGCCCCTCATGCCCAGAGCTCATATACCACCTCGCCCTCATCTCAAAGGTCTCTCATGTTATTCTAAAGCGCAGTAGTAAATGCTGTATCCTGCTGTGCCTTAGTCTTAAATCTTCTCAGAGTTGCCTGGTCATTTTGAAGTCACACTAAGCCAGTATTTTGAGCAAGACATTTTGCTCAATTCACTTTTCATAAAAACACGCCCCCCTTAGTTACTGTTGCTATTTCCGACAAGCTATGGCGCCACCAATCATATTCTCATACAGTGAAAAATACATCACGGAGCAAAGAAGACACTGACAACGCGCCAACAGACAAGACGGAACAGGTTACTTTTAATATGAAACAAAGTCTCAGCTTTCAAATTTTGACATTTTTTAAGAAATTCAATCAGTAATACCATTTTGTGACTCTTTAATGTGTCGTGACAGATCAATGTAGTGACTCAGTTCAAGCGGTACGTGAACCAATCATCTAGTCCAGGCAGGGCCAGATTTACCTCTTTACAGTTACAGTGTTTTCTATCGCAATAAGCGCTTGCGTTCAGTCAATAAAAATCGAATGTAGTTCTTAATTTGTTTGAGAACCGAGAAAGACCATTCCATTAATAGGTGCGGCATCGTGGCCACATAATAACCACTTCGGGAGTGCATTTCTCTAATAATTATAACGGCCTGGAGTCACAACCACACATCAAGACTGTTCAGATGATTGTTTCAAGACATTTGACATGTTTCTGTCCTGAAATCCCAAACCTTCTGTTGCAAATTCCAAAACGTAATTTTAGAGCTAATAACAGAGGCTTGAGCCATTGATATGCAGGATAATGCAGTTATTAATGCAGTCTAATGCAGTTATTAGAGAGAGAGAGAGAAAAAGAGAGAGGGAGAGAGAGAGAGATTAAGCACGAGTGAATACGTGCGTCTGTGCGTCTCTCAGTAGCGTTCAGCAGCAGCATCTACTAATAGCAAATCTTTTAAGTTGAACTGCTTCAAGAACCTCGCAACTGAGAAATGTCATGTAACTTTTCAGTTGCGAAACTATTTTATTGATAAATTCGTGGGGCAGCGCTGACAAGAAGTTTCTGTTCGCGTCTCCGCGTGTGCGCGCGAGTGCATTTCTGTACTGTGTGTGCGTCTGTGAGAGACTGGGAGAAAGAAAGCGTGATTTCCGTAGCCTACATAAAAAAGGTGGAAGACATGGAAATAGTTTGTCATTTTTTACCCTATTTTTTGTTATATTTATTTACTCAATGTCTTCTGGGGTTTTGGTTCTTTTACTGTTGTAGATAGCCCATAGTATAACAAAAATATTATATATCCCTTCATTGTGTTTGGGCCCCCCTGGACGAGCGAACATAGGCACGTGCCTAGAATGCCTATGCGTAAATCCGGCCCCGAGTCCAGGGGTCTTCAACCTTTTTTACACCACGAACCGGTTATGTTTGGAAAATATTCTTGCGGACAGGCTGGACGGGAGGGGGGGATATATATATATATATATATATATTAGGATATTATATAGTATTATAATAGCATTATATAGTGGTTCAACGCATTATATTGTGGCTTTTTTGAGTCACAGATCGGACTATTTTTTCGGATAAGCAAGAAAAAAATATTTAAAGCACAGAGAATGACAATGCCGTGAAGGGTTTTTGACATAGGCTAATTTTATGTGTATGTATACGCAACTCGGTATTTCCGCGCTGTCTGAAACACGTCTCTTGTTTGCGCTTTGATTGTGTGTGAGAACAGCGCGTGAGTAACGAATTGAGCTCTCTTTCATTTCTTCTTCTTGTGGTTTAAAATTGCTTGTATGTGTAAATTGGCAAATTAATCTGCGAATCACGTGCGTGCCGAACGGTAGGGTCTCATCCGTACGTATTACGGATCAACTGCGATCCATTTAACTCCTAATATGTGACAGATCAAAGCAATCTTTCATTTACTTATTTAACATGAAATTGTCAAATTGATACTCCATATCAATCGCATACAAAGAAAATACAGAATAATTAGAACAATCATTAACATAAATAAATAACAGAGTGTCATATCTATACACATTTTTTCCAGAACGTTCTTGCGACCCGGTAGCAATTCTTCCACGGCCCGGTAGTTGGTCGCGACCCGGTGGTTGGGGACCTCTGATCTAGTCTTCTTTACTAGTTATAGCATGAAATAAACATGAATGAACATCAGAAGGTATCTTGTTTCAACCGCAGAAAGATGTCAATACACACTGTAAGAGTTTATCTACTCTTCTGTCTGGTTTGTTTGTTAGAAAAAAAGTCAGATTCTGCGTTATGATTGGTCAAATCGCCTGTTAGTCAAACTCCCAGCGAAGGGTAAATTGATCTCTCTTATTGTGTTCTAGTGCATTTTTTCCTTTTTTTTTGTCCTTAAAGTGGAGTGTCGTCCCCTAAAACTTGCTCCTTAAGCGTTTCAGATATTACACAATCACTCAATATAGATGGTCTATATTGAAGACCATATAAAGTCTTGCTGTGACTATTATGTATAGAAATTGAATATGCTCTTCAGTTCATTAAATGTATAACTACTTATTTTGCCACTGATTAATCAGCAATCACTGACTGATATGTTCTGTGATAAAGCGACGAAAAGCATGTCTACGTACCATTTAATTCTTACGAGAAAATAAAGTAATGAAAATATTCATAAAAAATTTAAAGTGTATGTTGATTTTGGGCCAGTTCCCACCTCCTTCTTCCCATATCAACTAACTTCGTTACATTGGAGCCAAAACCCTGGAACAAGGAACTGGCTCAAAATGAAAGTACACTTTAATTCACAAAACAAGCACACACAAAAACATAAAACATCCCAGGCCTGGTCCTCTCCCTCCCTCCACCATAGTCACTCCTCTTATTCTTTCGGAACTCCCACTTTGGACTTGACCGGTGTGGCACATTAGCACATGCGCCGCCGGCCACACTGCTTGCCACAGTAACATATTTTTTTATTTTATTATTATATAATAAAATAAAGTAATACAAAATTAAATAATAGAACTGTTTATCTTTAAACTACATGTTGGTAATTGTAAGTCAGTAGTCTGAAGTGCATATAAACAAACTTGACTGGAAACTATTCACAGTTCTGTAATGAGTCATCTGTCATTTTTTGTTATTATTATTTTTCTTATTATTATTATCAATGTTAAAAACAGCTTTGCTGCGTAATAATAATTATTTCAGGATTATTTGATATATAGAAACTTCTAAATAACATAATTTACTTGAAATATACATTTTTATAACAATTTAAAGTATTTATGGTCACTTTTGATTACTGCATGATCGCTAAATACATTTTTTTTATTATTTTTTGTAAAATATTTTTACAAAAATTTACTGACCCCAAACTTTTGAATGGTGTATAGTGTACATGCACTACTAAAGATGACCAAGTGACACCTGGAAATAAAATTTACTTATAATTTTGAATAACATTTAATTTGTTGCATTTGCAACCATATTGGTCACATTCTGGAGGACTGTGTCATTGTCACAGGCGCCAATTTCTCTGTCCTGACACCATTTCCCTGGTTTCATTTTATCACTTATAGCTATCACTTTCTCTCTGTCTCATATCTCACTTCTGAATTATAATTGAATGGATGACTCGTGAACTTAAGAAGTGGCTATTTAATTGTATGTTTTCAATTATCCTCCTTGATGTATTATCATTGCATCTGTGCTCTCTAGCTGTTTACAAGTCAAGTGTTTGTTCATTTGTCAAACTAATCTCTCAGGCAAATGTTATCATCAGTGTTGTGATCACAACAGAATATGTTTGCTACCATTTATATGCATGTTTCGTCTTGGTAAGAATAAGTGGGATTGTTGTAAAAAGCCCATCGCTCACATAAATAGATGGCTTTGGTAATGCTAATGAACTCTGTATCGAAAGTGTGATCAGTCTCCTTGCCTGTTCCTCATGTCTGCATAAAGAGCAGTCTTCTTTCCTGTGTTAATCCGGGTTTGGCGTAATGGTGCTGTCTGATTCCAGTCCACGCTTTCTGAAGAGAGAGCTCCAGTGAATTTGTATTCTGCAGCTGGCTCTGAGGCATTTAGTGACACGAGAAATTAAGCAGCATATCCATGCGTCCAGTACCTGGCAAAAACTCCTCGGAAAAGGTCATGCTGAGAGACTGTGGGGGTTAACTTTGCGAAACTGTACCCAGATAAGAGAGTTTGGTTCTCTGGAGCTTTTTGCAGATTGTGGCTACTGTTGGAGGGGCATAAGCAGATTCTGAACACGCCTTAGTCCAGCTCTCAGAGATGTCAGCATGGCTGGAAAGCAATAAAATCAAAGAGGCTTGTTCTGATGATCAGCACTGATAGGACTGCCCCTACTTAGAATTCACACCTAGGTTCAGTATCGTGCTCTCTGTCCACTAGCCCTCCACCCTGCCCCTCTCCCAGCACTCCATTTCCCCTTTTCCATATCCCCATTACCAGAGGCATAGCAATCATTATAACTCGCCCCATCCCCTGTTTGGGAGGGTGGGGTAAGATGTGTCAGTTCATGAATGGCAAACTGGGCATAATTCCAATTATAAAATGATGAGAATTGTTTCATATATTAAAATATTCTGAATATTAATTCTCTGCATATTTATGGAAATGTTATAAATGTTGTTGTTATTGTTATTAACTTTATATATTTATTTGTGATTATGTATATACACACATGCACGCGTGCATTTACTTATATTTTAAAATGATATATTATACATTTTTTCCACCTTTCAGCAAATCAGTTAAGTCATCCGTCACATAACATACTAAATGTTACATTATATAATATAATGAAAATTAAGGTAAC